CATGGAGATGCTGGATTCACACATCCGGCCCTTGCTTTCTACTTTTCCTGAATTATTCCTTGGGTAGTAAGTACAACTGCTTAGTGGTTAGACAGTCCTAGTCAACTAATTATTATGATTTAAGAAAATTTCCTGATACGGGTAGAAAAGAAATAAATAGAACAGGAGAGAGAGAAAAGGAAATAGGTAAGTAAGAGTTCCAGCTTCATGCCAACAAAACAGTTTCTGTTCCCACAGTCCTACTCAGGTCTACCAATCTTAACAGTTACTTCTTTGTGATTAATTTGGAGGAAAGGATTCTTCCTTCCCCTTTGGCAAGAGAGTTGGTCACTCTAAGAGGCTAATGAGGTCAAAGTCTTACCTTGTGATGTACCTCAGTGGTCCTGAGAGATGGCTGGTTCCACCATTGGGAGAGGAGCTCCACTCATCCCACGTCTGACACCAAATTGTTTGGTAATTTCTTGAATAAGGAAGTCCCTGGGAGACTCTCATCCACCAGTGGATCCACAAATTTAGAGAGCCAGACTAAAGAGATAAGACTTAACAATGCAAAGGAAGCTACTCAATGGAAGCAATTTCAACATCTTTTAGGAAATGATACATCCTTATATAGCTATATAGAAGGCAGAATTTAGGTTACGTGATGAACAACATTATGCATCATTTAATCACATCAAAGGAGTATTGTTCTGCCACACATGAAAAGATAATTACTGGTTTTGATGTAGACTTCTACAATAGGAGGCTCAACAGTCCACCGCATCACCAAATTGTTAGAGATTCCAGATTCTGATAAGTTTTGCAGATGGTCTGCTAGAAAGCCCATCCAAAAGTAAAGAAGAAGGTTGCAATTTTAGAAATAAGATTTCCATTTTATTCACAAAATATATTTCTAAATAGTGCATTTTTTCTTCCAAAGATCAAGGAACTGCTTTATCTCCTAAGTAAAGACAGTTTGTAACTCACTCCTGCATCTCACACAGATATGGCAACCACATGTCTGATTTCAAATATTCTATTCCATTGTCCCATAAACCATCTAAATGTCCTGGAAATTCTAATATTTCAGTGAATAGCATCTAAATATGTCAAGTCAGCAAGTATTATAATAAAACATATGGTCACAGAAGATTGAGAGTCACAAGTAGAAGAAACACCATGCTTACTCACTAATCTGTGTTATTTTATGCCTGTCTTATGTTTTATGTAGAGAGATGTTTGTGGAGAGATGTGGAACAAGCCACATTTCTAGCAGTGAAATCCAACAAATAAAGACCACACACACCAAAAGAAAAGCATAGATGCCTTTAGCAACAAAACCAAATTCATTGACTGTACTGATAGGAAAACAATAATTATTATTTCCACTTTCTATAATACTATGGAGTACTATGGAAAGCAAAAGCAACAACTCCAAGACAGTCACTCAAGCCAATAGATTTATAACTCACAACAAGTAGGATGCACACAGAGCATATGTATATGAGTATGGTTAGATTTTACTATAACGGCTTTTTTTATGCAACAAAATCAAAGGAAATGCTCTATTTGGCTACACTAGTGAGGTACAAAAATACATGGGAATATGAAAAAAAGAAAAAGCCCCAAACCTCTCATTCTAAGAAACATCTGCTTTAAAAAGAGATAAATTACATATGGTCCAGAAAATTAACTACAGAAAAGAAATATCTGTTGGAACAGAATAAACAATATCAAGTGCTTCTTCAGAAACATCTTGTTACCCTGAGCCTACTCAGCAAACTCTAGCAGTGCTAGCATTACTGGGAACCAAGATGACAGGTATTTAGGTTCAAAGTCAAATACCTCCATTTTGCTATTTCCTCTCCTTCTGTAGTTCAAAGCTTGAGATGCTCAAAATTACTTCATTACAATTTTTTTATGTTGAAATGAACGCAAATGGCAAAATTTATCTTATTTTTATGTGTGCTTTTAATTCAACTTTATAAAATAAATCTTTTCTGGCCTCCTCCCATACTATAGACTTTCTTAGATGTAAGTAAGCCAGCTGGAACCACCTTACAGATGAGGATGGAAGGCTATCTCACACCAACACTATGGTCAATCAATGAGCCAGCAGTTAGTAAGATCTCACCCTGTGGCAGGCACTGTGGTAGACACCAGGAGACAAAAGAAAGGCAAAAAACATTTCTTGCCATCAAGAAGCTTATATTCAGATGAGAAAGAATCTTGGGCCTGATTTATTATTATTATTATTATTTTTAATAAAACTGCCTGCCTATTTCTCCTTGCCCTGTAGCTAACAAATTAGAGCATCTGGGGAGTCTCTCTGAGCTTGCTTTTAAAGAATCATGATGATTTCTAAGTGTTTTTGAAAGACTAGATCATTCACAGACATTCTGTAACTAGTTCTGGTTGGCTAAACCACAGGGTTGGGAAGAGACTTTTTCAATTGGCTGCATAGCCACAACTATGCGCATATCCAACAGGCCTGGGTCAGCACTGAATGTCTCTTTTTAATTCATTCAATGACTCCTTGCCCCATCCCCCACCACCCAGATCATGGAAGAGACCATGTTGTAAAGCCATGGTGGTCCCAAGAAACAAGCCTTGGTCTTTGGCCTTATTTATTGTTCCTTTCCATTATGTGTGAAGCAAGTAGAGTCTCTGACAGTAGGAGTTTCCAAAAGTTGAGAGCAATCCACAGGATTCTGGGACTCAGAATACAAACTAGGTTTTGCATCAATGCCCCAAGGAGCTAGAAGCAACCTTTGGAAGTGACCTTTAGGGTTCTAGGCCCCTGATAGCTGAGACAGCTTGGTGGAGTTGATGCTATGTAGGAACTGGGCTAAGTTTTGAGCTTATTTTCCAGACACCAAATTGGTGCAGGGAAGAGCACTGACTATTATAGGGGAAAATGTGCATTTGTTCTTACTCTATCTTGGAAGTAAATATCCCTCTGTAAAAGCTAATTGATATTAAATGGAACCGTCCTGCTAGTCACTGGTTGGGAGCAATACAGCTAGAGGAAGCTTAAAATGATAGAAGTAAAGAAGAGAAATAGATCCCAACCCCTCAGAGGGGTGACACTTCCAGTCTAATGTGGTGGAGTCATCCAATCACACAAAAGAGACCGAAACAAGATTCCTTGTTGAATAAGGAATTTTCATAAAAGTGCTGGAACAAATTGAAAAATTCTTTGAAGGTTTGATTTTCTCTGTGGGAATCCCAAACCCACTTTTTCGTTAAGATTTTTGCCAGGTCAGCTACTAATATTAACTTAATAAGTGCAAAGTAATACTTTTCAGAAATGACAGGGAGGAAAAGATTCTCATACCATATGTCCTGAACTGGAGTTCCAGTCACAGGATAAACTAAAATGATTTAATATTAAGGAGCATTTGGGAGATTTCAAGTTGCAACAGGCTAACCTACCACTTGAATTATTAAAAAAAAAAAAAGAGAGGGGTAGCAAAAGGTTACACAACCACCTGAATTTGGGGGTAAAAAGGGAAAAAAGATGACTTTAATAGAATGAGATGAAGCGCAATGGTAGCAAATTTGGAAGTTCACAAGTCATGGGGAGGGGGTGCTGTAGAGAGGTGGGAAACTCATGTCTATAATTTTTTTGAGGACTTTCTCTAGAACTCCAAAGTAAAAAAATAAAATAAAATAAAATCCAACAAATTCACAAAGCTAAGAGGTCTTTTCTATCGGAGGCAACGCCTTTCAGCTCAAGGACATGGATTCAAATCCCACCTCTGACCTTTTTACTCCCAGTATGAATATGAACAATTCACTTATATCTCCTTGGACCTCAGTTTCCACATCTGTCAAAGGAAGCGATTGGGCTAGATAAACCTCTGAGGGTCTCCGTTTCAGCTCTGGATCTAAGATTCTGGGCTCTGTTTCCTTCCACCACCAAAAAAGTAAAATGTGTTATTAATTAATAGCTGGATTTACTGACACAAGTCCAGCCACCCTCCTGTTGTAACTGACAAGAGTACAGGGGAGACGGAGGCGGGCAGGCAGGCGGATCCCCCAGGGTCACGGAACGCTACAGATTCTCCACCCAGGAGGAATCTGGTGGCAAGTTCCACAATTGAGGCTAGTTTCCAAAACCAGAGGCCCATGTTCTCTTCAGTTGCGTACGGTCCTGGGACTTGGTTTCGCTTTCCTCTGCTTGGCCCTCGGCCAAGGCCATTCATCTCTCTACTGGGACTGCGGGCAGGCTAGACAGGCTAGACCGCCTAGACCGCTCTATCCTCCCCCACCTTCACCCGGCGGATCCCCGGGAATCCAGAGAGTAGGGAAGTGGTCGGGCGGCGCAAAAGTTTTCAATCTAAGAGCAACGAGGAAGCATCTGCAGTGTGCCATTGGGAAACAACGGCGGAAATGCAACCGCTACTAGCCTTCGGGAGAGCACCTTCTTATCCCCGTAAAGTCAAGACTAACTCGGAGCAAAAGACATGAACAAATCCAGGGGCTACCCTTCATCTCGGATTTCCCGCCAACCCCCAGTAAACGACAACCACCACTAGAGCAACAGCATAATTCAATGCAACTTAATAAACATTTATTAAGTGCCTACTACGTGCCAAGCACCCTACCCCTGGGCCGGAGAAACGAAGCCAGAAATGCCAACAGTTACTCATTAGGAAACCTGAGACTAACTGGGAACAAAAGTGAAGAACAAATCCCAGGGCCAGGCTTGCAAGCATACCAGATTTTCCACTGAACCACTTATTCTATTCAAGCCCCCGCCAACAACTACAGGAACAAGAACAATTCAACTCAATTAAAGAAATATGTATCTGGCGACTACAACGAGCCAGGCATGGTACATTCAAACCTGGGGAAGCTACGACTAATTAAAAGCAAAAAACAAGTCCCTGCCCTCGAGCAACAATACAATGACAACAGGGACAACAAAAATCTGAAACAAAAAGCAAACCCCATCCAGCTTTGCAACCCATTTCTGGGCTTCCGGATCCCGAAAGAAACGGCGTCCCCGGACCCACCTGGCCCCTCGCGGGCTGCTCGCTCCCTTTGGCGCGAAGTCGGCAGGCCTCGGCGCGATGGAACGCTGGCGACCCGGGGTTCTCTCATCCAGCCTCGCAGACATCTTGTTCTGGCAAGCCCTGGGCATCCTGTGCTGGGCTGCCCTGGGCCCCCCGCCCCTTAAAGACGCAGCGCTGCATTCCCTAGTCTGGTCGGGACGCGAGGAAGTGAATCGCAGACCCTCCTTATGTCAAAAGACAAATCATTAACAAAATATTGAAGCCCAGGATCAGTGTTAGAATGACCCGCTGCAGGTGTTCATTAGCTTAAAAGAGAAAAAGCGGATTTGCTTTTTTTTTTCAAAACGAAAACTTTTTTTTTAAAAAATGTGATCTGCCAAGACCTGAATTCCCAGGTCTGTTTCTCCTGGACTGTTGGCTTCTCTGAGTGGGAGGCGCATTGATGTTTTGAAGGGGAAATGCCAGCAGTCACAACCGCTGGAGTCAGAACTTACAACCTGTTGCAGTGTAATATCAACTGGTGTGTGTTGTTTTTAGTCTGGATTTCTGTGTTTGAGAAGTTGTGATTATTAGTATCATTATTACTACTCTCTTAGCATCGTTAGCATAATCAACCACAACAATAATAGGGGAGCGCCTTTATGCAGCTTTTTATGGTTGACAAAACACTTTAACCATGCTCTGGAATTGTCTTGTATATGCAGATTTATGTACATGTTGGGCTCTCCATTACAATGTAAGTTCCTCGAGAGCCTCAATTGTTTTTGCATTTCCTCGTATCCCCAGAGGTGCGTAATAATGTTGGTTGCTCGGTTGATTCTGACAGCAACTTGTTGTAAAAGACCGGAACTCTGACTGATTATAGTCAAAGTAAGGGGGTTGGGAAGGATAAATGGAACCAGAGCTGAACGATGAACCAGGAAGAACAAGGAGAGGTTGAAAGACTAAAGCTCTCAGAGCAAATCTCAACCTCCTTAAGCACTTGTGTGCTAGATGGGCAGCTAGATGGCGCCATAGTGCACAAAGCTCTGAAGATGAACCCATATCTACATGAGTTTAAACCTAGCCCCGGAAACTTAGTAGCTGTGGACCGTGGGCAAGTCATTTAACCCTGATTGCCTCAGTTTTCTCACCAGTAAAATGAACTGGAGAAGGAAATGGCAAACCACTCCAGTATCTCTGCAAAGAAAACCCCAAATGGGGACATGAAAAGTTGGACGCGACTGAACAACAGTAACAACATGTGCCAGTTGCTGGAGATAACAAATAAAGGAATATCATCTACCCAGGTCACTGAAGTCGTACTTCAGTCCTTAAAACGTTAGAACATAAGTCTACTTTTAAAGTTTTTACAGCCAAGGGATGAATCATACCATTGCCCTTATAATGAGGCATATGACAATAAGGAAAGGATTAGTTTTAGCTATTTTAGAAATCAAAAGCAACCTACTTGCCTGCGTTTGGTATTTTTCTTTCTTTCTTTTTTTTTTTGCAAGGCAATTGGGGTTAAGTTACTTGCCCAGGGTCACACAGCTAGTAAGTGTCAAGCCGGAGTCCGGATTTGAACTCAGGTCCTTCTGACTCCGGGACCAGTGCTGTATCCATTGCACCACCTAGCTGCCCCAAGTTTAGTATTTTTCAAAACTGGCACTTACAGCTACAAGCAACGAGTTGAAAAATTAAAAATAATAAGCATTAAGAATGAGCCTTATTAATTAACACTTCAATTGATCCTTGATTTCATCAGTTGAGGTGTAACAAGAATCATCTGGCCCAGTCTAAAGAATTTTTAGTCAGATCTGGGCTTCTACCTCTGTAGATAATAATAATAATAGTAATAATAATAATAACAACTACTAGCATTCATATATCATTTTAAGGCTTGAAAGGCTTTACAAATATTATCTCATTTGATCATCACAATAACCCTTTGAGGTAGGTGCTATTCTTATACCCATTTTACAGATGAGAAAACTGAGAGATGTCTTAGTTTGAGTAGGAGGATCGCGATGACCAAGAAATCAATCTTTCACTCCCCTGTCTTAGAGAAGGCTATTTGGCCGGAATAAAATCTCTCTGTCCCACATTAAATATTTGAAGTCTAAAGACACGATTCTCTTTTGATGTTCAGGATAGGAGCCACTTTCTGGGGTCACTTGGGAGAGGTAGAGAAGTAGTTCCTTGGTGGGGGGTGGGGTAACAGACAACTTCATCTCTGCCAGTTTAGCTCCCCTCCCACTAAATGCTTATTACATAGATATCAAGGCAACGTGTTTATAAAGGCAAGCAGCAAAAGAGTAATTAGGAGTTGAGGTCACAGAACACACAGGTGTCTGGGAGGCTTCTGCAGCTCAGAAGAGAAGGCTCTCACTCAAGAAATCCACTCTTAGCAGTCTCTAGAGATGAAAGCACCAAAGTCCAGGGACATGTTTGGTGCTGGCTTCTCCTTAGATGGATACAGCTTCAGGGGGCCTCCTGTTCAACATTCAGAGTTGACCCCTTCTTTCTTCTTGCTGCATTTCTTTCCTCTGCTTCTCTCTCCCAAAAGTGTCTTAGCCAATCAGGAATCATGTACATCTTCCTGCAACATCATGGGACTGTCTTTCAGGGTAGTGCCAAGCTTTAGTGGGGTCAGGACTATGTGGGTACTCCATTCAACTGTCCATATTGTTTTCTTATTCTGTGCTAGTCTTGTTCGTGACCTCCCATAATTCCTCTATAGAGTATCTGTAACAGGGGCTCCCGACCTGGGATGTGGACCTACCTTTTAAGGGATATGAGAAACTTGTCAAGGGGGTTGGGGAAATATTTGGTAAATGATGATGATAGCTAGCATTTCTATGATGCTAAAGTTTGCAATGCGCTTTTCATGTCATCTTATTTGATCTTTCCAATAACCCTGTGAGGGGGCTGTTATTTTTATCCCTACCTTACAAATGAGAACTGTGAGGCTGGGAGAGCCTTGTCCAGGGTCACATAGCTAGTCAGTGTCTGAGGTAAGATTTGAACTCCGGCCTTCCTGACTCCAAGTCTGGCACTCTGTCCACTGTGCCATCTAGCTGTTTCACATCAATACCTAACACAAGGCCATGCCTTCTGTGGTGGGGCTTTGCTTTGCGCTTGCCCAGATCACTGAACATGGAGACACTGAAATGGGAGATCCCGGAGACCAGCTTCTAGAAGGCATTCTTCTATGTTCTCCTACCACATGGGTGTTTACCAGCCTCTTTCCATTTCTTGTGCAACCGGGACAGGCTGTGTCTTTAAACCTTTAGACGAGGGCATTCTCTCTTTCCAGTAGTGCCCAAGGAGGGGTGAAAGTCTTGTCATCAGCCATAGAGACACCATGAACTGCCTGGGTCAGGTGAAGCTACCTCCCCTCTCCTCCTTTTAGGCCCTGTGTCCTAGAGAAACTGGCTTGGAATTTGGTCTGTTTTGTTTGCTCTTTTCAGTTCTAGGCATGGGCAGTAAAGTCACTGGACCCTGACTTGAGCCATGGAAACCTTGGAGGCAACACTCCAGGCTAGATGTTGCTGCCGGCCCAGCAAGGAAGCCCTGAGATGCCAGGGTGTTGGGACACAAGCCCTAGGGTTGGACTTGCAGCTTGGTGGGCCCATGCTGCACAGGAACTGAGGTAAGCTGTGAACCTAATCCTCTTCTCTTCCCCAGAGACTGAAGTGACAAAGGGGGAGATTGTGCCCCTACTTGTTGGAGGGGGGAAATGATTGTATATTTGTTCACCTTTGAAAGGAATATTCCTTTGTGAAAATTAATCTGTTAAGTGGTGAAATGGAACTGGAGGATGGGGGCATCCCTAAAATTGGGGGAAACACCATTGATGATAGCTTCATCCAATGGCAAAAACACTAGACCAAAGCACTGGGGAAGCATGAAATATAACCCACCTGGCCTTCCAGCAATGGAATCAGGATAATCATTGTTATCAAGGAGGGTATAGGCACCTCATCGACTCATTCAGTCCAACCTACTCTCACACTAGCAGATTTAGAATTCCAGAGAAATACCACCACCATAAAATTTTCTCAGGATCCTAGGAATCACCTTATTAAAAGGAAATATAGTTCCTTACTCACCACTCTAGCTCAACCCTCTATTTAGACATTTTTATTTAGACAATCATCTACTCACAACTATTATACTTCTAGAATTTAAAATTAAACACAGCAATGAGGCGAAAGAAATAATATCATAGGTACTCATATTTTTAAATTTTGTTCTTATTTTCAGTTCAGTTTTATTTTCCCATTCTCTTTTTCCACACACCCCTCCCAGAAGGCAAGAATTACAATATTCATTGTACATTTACACTTATGCAGAACATATTTCTGCGTTAGCCATGTTCTGAATTTTAAAAGCAAGAAAAATAAAGGAAAAAATACACTTCAATCTGTACTCTTGAGTCCATCAGTTGCCTATATAGAGGTGGATAAAATTTTATATCATGAGTCTTTTGGAGTTGTGGTGGATTATTGTATTGATGAAAGTTACTAAGTCTTTCAGAGTTGATTATCCTTGCAACATTGCTCTTACTGTGAAGATTGTTTTCCTGGTTCTGCTCACTTCACTTTGTATCAGTTCATATAGGTCTTCCATGGTTTCTGAAATCATCCCCTTCATCATTTCTTACATCAAAATAGAGGTATTCACTTTAGCAAGTGCATACATAAGATACATCATTACCCATTTATAAACCTGGGTAACATTTTTACACCCATGTTTCTTCTCAATATTTGTGGAGATGTTGGGCAAACACTTAAAGGAACATGGAAGGGAAGCATGAGGGAAGAAAACTCAGATGTTTGGGGTAATTCAGAACTCTGGAATTCAAGCTTTGACATCACTGGCCAGTTGAGTGACATCTGAACCACACAAAACCACTCCTCTACTAGATAATATTGGCCGAGAATGGCCAAGTTTATCAATCCTCTGGGCCATACAAACCAGGCACCAGCCATTTACATACCCTCATCTGGATGCCAGGTATTGTCCAAAAACAATGGAGCTCACAGTAAACATCTCAGATTGATTCTGTGGGCACCTCAACCTCCACCCCGCCTGCCTTTCGTATGCAGCAAAGTAGATGCAGTACCTTTCTTTCCCCATTTTACTTCCCTCTTTCAA